GTGACTAAATTTGATCACCTACTTCTACCGAACGTTAATTCACCAGTCGTTCACCAGGAGAACATACCACGAAGGTCCTAGTATACACCACCAGATGTCTGGACGCTTGTTCCTGCTGCTGCTCGTCACGCCTGTAAAAACGTGAACTAACGCAACAAAATTCATCACCCACCCTCTGTCCAACAATAATTTTGCAGTTCTCAGTAACACAACAAGCAAGGCGCACACAAAGGTTCAAACATATTTCCTAGCACCTGCTTGGCATGTATGTTTGTGAACAACTTACTACGACCGTTTCATATCTATATTGTACAGCATATGATACGGCGTCAGAGTAGAGTCCACGCAACCATTATCAAGTGCATTTTTTGGCATGGAGAGCAAGCCCCACAAGATACCACTTTTTGTCACGTCTGTCTCAGGATTTGCGGCGGCACCACTATTGTCACAACTCGGCACACCTTCATAAGAAACTAGCACACAGGAAAATCAAGGTACCCTGACAACCGTTGTCTTTGGTCATCGCACTTACGGCGATTACCCACAACAGCTCACGTCAACTACACGAAGGGCAGGTGGTATTAAATACGCATACTCAAAACCTATCGTTGCTTCAAGAGCAGTGTCTTGGAAAAAGCAAAATCGAGTCGAAACTCACCACCTAGGAATCGCCAAGGAGACGCCTATCAACACGGATGATCACATTGTACATCGTAGAAATGAATAGGTCTACATACTTCCCAAATCCAAAACCGTACGCACCCTCTGACTTTCGCTGGTAGACATACATATGCATCATAGGTCGTGCCTACTCGATCAAGGCACCCTTTCAGCGGGCATACCCGCCTCCTCGTAAAATGTCTCTACCATCACATCTGCTTTCGATGGGCACTATTCATTCCCATCTTATCCCCCCTCGGACGTACTCACGCCACACATCTCCCCCACACATCCTTCGTGACTTCGGAACTGCACTCGAGGTAATATCTGAACCCGTCATAACACAAACACATACACACCGCGGGTCCCCTTTCGTAGACATGTCTACATACCACTACATCACTTAATTCCGAATGGGCGCAACCGACCCCCCCCCCCCCCTTCCCTCCCACCCCTCAAAGTTCATGCCCCACACGCCCTCCCCACAACTTCTTTTCTTAACACGGCTTCAAGCGTGATTAACAGCTTAATCAACGTCATGCAAGCCAACGGGGTACTAGAGAACAAGGAAGGGTAATAAAATAAAGTCTTCGAATTTGAAGTAAGTACGAGAGTAAATGTCATAAATAGCCAAGCCATCCGGGTAGCGGCGTTCATGAGACAAACCTAAGACAATGAATATCGATATCACACCATAAAACATCGTGCACAACGCTCTGAGTGTTGTTAAATCACCCCCAAACCCTAAGAAATGGTGCTTTCAGCGCACCCCTTGCTTGCGAACAACAGAGAAGAACAAGCCGTCGAGCGAAGAGTGGAAACGGCACCCGAATGCCTTCCCCTCCTTCGTGAAAGTATCACTCAGAACTCTGACTCGCTGCCTTTATTGCGATCAGGCCCTCGGAATGCGAGCGAGGTGGGATATCGTGCTTCCTCCGAACCGGGAACGTGGACTGTCCCTCTGCCTCCGGTTACTGACCTACGCACCGAACCCCACGGCCGCACTGCAGTCCCCGTCATCTCCATCGAACTCCCAGCCCCACTCCCACCCATCACCGTCTCCTTCATCCTCTTCCGCCTCGGGGATGCTTGCCATTTGTGGGTCAGCCAATTCACCGCCTCGTCCGTCACCGGGCCCATCGCCGGCGACCCCTTCCTCGCTGCCGAGGCTTCCAACGGAAGAGGGGGCAGAAAAGCCTGCACCGTCGCCGCTCTCCGGTACCGGAACTGCCGCAAAGATGGAGCTTGCTGGGATCGGACCGATGTTCGAGCCCACCGGGCCCGCTGCTCCTGCTGCTGCTGCTACATCCGCCGGGGAGGGTGCGTTAGAAACCGAAATGTCGGCCGCACCCACCGCCTGCTCGACGGCATCAGCCGCCGCGGGGGCTGAGCGCAAGAGTGCCCTGGCCCCAAATCCGTCGCCGGTGGCGCCCTGCAGGAGCCCTTCCAAGTGTGCGCGCGGAGACGAAGAATTGCGCCGTCCGGTGGGAGGGTGGTCGATGGCTCCATACCGACCCTCTAGCCTCTCGAGTCCCATGCCTGCGCCTTGTCCTCCAACGGCATCTCCAACGGCCCTCTCTCCTGCCCGGCCGCTTGCCTCAGATCCGCCTCCTCCTCCCCCTCCGCTGACCGCCTCCGCACTTCTGCCCTCTGCCGCCGCTACCGCCTCTTGTACCTCGGCGCCCATTTGTCGGGGGACTGCAGCGCTGGCGGCGCTCCTGCCGCCTCCGGTGCTGTCCCCGCCGTCCAGGCCGCCACCAACACCACTCCCGACGGCGGGGGCGCCCCCTGCAGAGTCGCCGCGCCCACCGCCACCGCCGCGTCCGCTGCTGCCACCGCCGCCGCCCGCAAGCAATGCGTCTCCGTAAAGGATGGCAGCCAAGGGTACGTCGGCGCTCGCGTTCACCGCCACCAGCCCTGCTGCATCCGCCTGGCCGGCCTCCACTGCCACCGCGCTGCCGGTGCTGGCATGAGCCGGCGGTTGTACTTCCTCGAAGTCCCCGCTCGGAAGGGCCGCTGAAACCGCCGCTGCCGCCGTCGCTGCTGCAGCAACCGGCGTGGCGTTCTGCTGCATCGCGAGGCGCACGGCCGAAGCCACAGCGAGAATTTGTGGCGCGATTTCGGCCATGGTGGGCCTATGCGCTGGGTTGGCGGACGTGGTGGTGCGGACCAGCTTCCGAATGTTGGTCTGACGACAAGACAAACGCGGGCGTGGGCAAGATGGGGGGGGATTGTTTTGTTGTCGGTATGGTTGTAGCGATGGATTTAGAGTCCGTGGAAAATCCGAGGCATAAGAGGCGGACGACCTGAGAGGCAGGGTAACGGTCGTACGGAACCATGCCCAGACGATCTAGGGCAACGAAACCGTTGTGGCCGTCTACACGTACGATGTCAATTCAGTGTCTCCACGACTCACACTGCAGCGTGTGTTCTTTCTGTCTAACTTACCGTCACCGACATACGACAGCGTGACTCCACAACAACATTCTCCATACGTGGTCTCTAGTGACGGCCTGAATACAACATGAGCAGCAGCGGGAGCATACGCAGGCAGTAAAACCTGTACTGGTAGTCATTTTCACGCGTCGCCCCATGGTGGGCATCCGACACTGCGTTCGGTCATTGCTCAGCTCACCAGTTGCGTTCCCGGCATCGTGTTGACGACGGCCGGGCGCGTCACCTTCTTGGCGAAGCCGGAGTTGGGCAGTAGCATTGTACGGTACGCTATCTCCTCCTGCATATCGGTGGTCCCAGCAAAATACGCCGGGAAAGAGCGACACACGAGAAGAGGACCGTTTTGGCGCCAAGAGCAAAAAAAGAGAGGTCTCCATGCGGGTGATCCTTCTTCGAAAAACACTGTCGGCGAAAGAAACAGGGGTGAACAAGATCCTTGATCGCGACTGATACTGCTGCTGGTGTAGCACGGCCTACACG